TGGAAAATTTAAGGAGTTATTATTATGTACGTTTAGATGATACAACCGGTAGGATACTTTTGCACGTTACTGTAACATATTCTCGTATGTTACTATTACTATAGATGCCTTTTATTTTTATTTACATAGTGAAATTCACTTTAACGAAGTCGTCCGTTCCGCAGAATTCTGAAAGATTCGTTATAATGTAATAATTCACGTGATTTTAGTCGATACAAATATCCAATAAAAATTTTTATTAGAGATTACATATTTAACTCTTCTTGTCGCAAGTACAACAAAGACTGTCAATACTATTAATAGCTTCTGCTGATGATATCTTTCTCATTTTCTCCTCCTCTTCTTCTGAATGTCCTTGAATAGTTGCTACAATTTCTCTCATAATGCGTTAGTCTTAGTAGCAAGAAGACTGGGAAGCTTTGGATCTTTATTGATGAGATCGATGATTCTGATTGGTTAATTCCTATAACGAACTTCGTTGTACAAATAAATTCGCCCAAGTGAATGGCTTATTTATGCATGGATTTTGAAATCTTCGCTCAACGTTATATAGCACTTTATATATAAATCTTCGTTTATCTGAAATTATTCTGTTAAGAGTGAACTGGTTCCAGAAAAATACTTCGTTATAAGCCATCTTCGTTAAAGTGAATTTCACTGCGTACTTTATCAAATTGTTTTAATAAAATATTTGTCTCTTGAAATAAAAAATGGTTTGCGGTTTGTGACGATTATAAGCTCCCAATAATTTACCATGAAAAATAATTTCGATGACAATTTACTTCTCTTAAGATAACCCAATGACTCGTAAAACCATACAACAGACCAGTAGAATCTACAGTATGCAAAAAATCCCGAGAATCATACGCTACCTTCCCAGTCAGCAAAGGAAAGTATTTTGTTCATTTAAAATTCCAATACAAAATTCCCAGTTGATAGAGTTTTTTCGAATTGCATTTTGAGGAGTGTTTAGATTCTGAAAGTTGTGATAAATTTCACTAAAAGAAGATTGCTTATTCTCTATTTCTTTAGCGTAGGACGATCATCATTATTCATGAATCACTTCTCTTAATACTTGATTCATGGTTGGAATTAGCATGCTGGGCTATTGTATCTGTAACAGTGCTTTTGAAACTTTCCATAATACGGCGTTCTTTCAGCCATTCTATAGTAATAGCATTCTATTGTTTGTCAAAATTTAGTAATGTATCGTAACACGAAATACAAAATGCTTTTGTGAGAAAGCATATCTTGGTTTGCCTTTCTAACGTTCAACCCATCGAATTGTATTACGTACGTACTATACAAGTTGTTTTTTCAAGTACTTTCGTAATGAACCCTCTATTCTTTCGAAGTAAAAAAGTTATTGGTTAGTGGCGGGCTATAGTTCTCAGTCTTTTACTATGAAAACAGCTGTTTACTCTTGGCACAATACAAATAGTAGAATTCATACATTATGAATAAGCCTTTTAAAACGAACATTGTGACTGTATGCCAAGACCTGTCGTAGTATATGCGCCAACGCACAATAATTCCGATGCTTTTTTAGCTTTGGTTTCAACTGTTCGGTAGTCGAACAATCATATACCTTTGTTGTGTTCTAAAATTATATCTGCAGAAAAATATTCGTACAATTGTTTCAAGTATACGACCAAAAAGCCGTATTGTCATAAAGCTTATAGACTATAAGCTATTGTCATGCGTTTGCTTTGAATGTGATTAGTAAGTAAGTATCAGGTAGTCGATACAACCAATGTTTCATTCGCCATCTATAGTCGTTAGTTATAATTTTAGCAGTGAGTTGTGACACAAACTTTTTATTTCAATATTTATGGTAATCCATGAATCAAAAAGTGTGCAACGTTGCAAGATGTAAACATTTGAATAATGCGTCCGACATTAGAATAAAGCGATTGTAGTTTGGAAATTATGCATGTCAAGACAATGAAGGCGGATGCTGTCCCGTAGGAATGCAAATTCCTAACTATAATGTGGTAGCGGCAATGATGGCACTGACACGGATGACAGTGATGACACTGGCACTGGTAATGGTAATAGTACTAGTAGTGCAAATAGTACTAGTGATGTAGTATCTGGCAGTAACTTTAAACTTAAACTCAGATGCAATTATCCACCACGTTTTGGCAATGTCTCTCACTATATTAATTTATTTGCTCATTGACTTGTAACGTTTGATGTGATTATCACAACTAATAGTGATAGTAACACCAAATTTATTAAATCATCATTCAAATACAACACATATCGACTGTATTAGTCAAAGCAAGATTACTTATTGTTATGAGAGTGAAGTGAAATAAAAGATAGTTTAGTAGAATATGCTTAGTTCATAAAAAACTGCCATAGGGCCTTCTTATTCTCTCAAATTGGAAATTATTGCCTTAAATAGGTAGGGGCATCGATTAAATTGGAAATTGTTTATTTTCACATGAACCTGATTAATTTTATCTGTCACACGAAACCTAAATACAGTATTACTCTATTTAGAAAGGCTGTTGCGAACTGATATGCCCTACTTGTATATGTTTCCAAATTTGATCGGAGCATCAAAGCTGTTGACCTGATATGTTAACAATGCTAATATATTATTTTGCATTAACCTTTTATGGTAAGTTTATGAAAATTACAGTAGTCGAAAAAAGTTCCGGGTGTGCAACTGATTAAGCTGCTCTAGTTACAACAATCAACTATTAAAGCAATATATTTTATTAATATAATAACCGACTACCACTTTTTGCAATAATTTTCTTACAGCGTTGTTTCATTGAACGTATTAAACCAATTGGAAGGCTGTCGGGAATATTATTTCACTCTTCAACTATAATTTAATAAAATTTTGAGATTTTCTATTAGCGCACTGCATGCGTAGGGTCTTGGCCCATCTTAATAATAACGACTGTGTTGTGCATGCTGTACTACCTAGAGATGAATTATTAGACATGAAAATTGTGGTAGCGGTCGGGTCGGTGGTTACAAATCTCACCCTGATTATGATGGTCGGGAAGTCGATCTCAATAAAGACCTCGAGATCCAATATTTGTACGCATCAAATATGCATCTCCCCCGTCTGCGCCAACCCAATTGTCGAATATCGAACTCTAAATGAGATATTCTGTCATTACGCAACGCTTACAATCCTTATTTGGCCGTGAACAAAATGAACAGCCTGTGACCCGTCAAACATAGCTCCCACTCCACACGTCTTAGTTGATGGAATGTATAATAATGAAGATGCTCCATTTCCTCACAAGTTAACCATTGGTTTACTATAAATAGAGTACGATTATTTCAATAACCATAATGAGAGAATTTTGCAATAATAATAAGGCGTTCACTGTGTAAGCAAATACCAGGGGTACATTAATCAGCGCTTTATGGTACCTAAAACGATTGGACAGAAAATTTTTTACAATCGTCTCACATAGTCTAATACTAACAATCTTTTCCGGGCATTAATCGTCAGCGTTCACTGGTATCATTGCCCTGAAAAACCTTCCAGCAACTGTCAACCAATAACATTTTTTAAATGTATGGCGGCTATATATAGCTTTCAGTCTTTTACCGTGAGAATTTTGATTATCCCAAAAACATGTGGAACAAGTACAAAAATAGCAGAATAAAAAAAGCCATTTTTAAATCGCACGTTTCCGGTTGGGGGGTTGCATGCCAAGAATCCAGACAAATCTCTCGGCATGCTATTTTTATTCTTACTCATCAACGCATAAACAATTTCTGTGTTTAGTATATTTTACTCGTTTTCAATCGCTTGGCAATAGATTGCGTCTTCCAAGTTATGCCTGCAAAAGCAAGATTCTTCAACACAATTCATGCCCTGCATATCAATCAATCGATAGACAAGGCAGATCTCTGTTTGGTGGTGTGATATCACATTTCTGTGCCAAATTAAACCTTTTGTTTACCTCGACCTAGTCACCTGCCGATACACACAACCCAAATTAGTATGGTGCCAAGCGCTTATACAAAAAGGCGTATTGTAATAAAATCATTAGACAATCTGTTGCCAAGCATCGACTAATAAAACAGGCAATATCTGCGATCGATGCAACCAATCGTTTCGTTCGCCATCTTGTATTTCCGTTGTGATCTTTGTGTCAAGTCGTATAATAATAGCTATTACAGCCCGTAGACTTAAGGTTACGATGACTCTTTGTTTCGATACAAATAGCAACTGCACTGACCATCAATTCGAGTACGAATATCCGTTTTCGTGCAAATGTAAATACATTTAAATAAAGCGTCCGACACGATCATTCGCATCACAATATCGTACCAAGTCTTGCTTGAAACATTAATATGAAATACCTCACACTAATACTCGTTCTCGCTACCGTAGCTTTTGTTTCTGCTACACCATCTCGGCTACACGACATTACGAATCTTGCAGTGAGGGATGTTACCGGAAAGTATGATGGACTTGTATCGACAAACGGTACCTGCGGCGATTCAGACTTTGCTCTATGTCCAAATAGCACTATCTGTTGCCCTAACGGCGCGGCATGCTTAACTGGTGGCTGTGATCTTCAATGCACTACCGAGGATATAACTTGTGGTAGTGGTTGCTGCTTCTCTGACCAAATTTGCACATCTGACTTCCATTGTGCTAATAACTCTACCGAATCTAACGATGGTAACGATGGTAACGATGGTAACGATGGTAACGATAGCGATGGTAACGATGGCGATGGCGATGACGGCCCTAATGGAACTGGTGACGGCAACAACAGCACCTCTGGTGGTAGTGGAAGTAATGTAGTCAGTGGCGGTTCTTCCAATACTTTCACTCAGACGCAATTATCCACCACGTTTTTGACAATGACTACCACTATCTTGATCTGTGTATTTGTTTACATGTAACGTTGATATGTTTAACATTCCTAACATAACCTTCACATTATTAAATTGTCGTTATAATAACCTCTTATATTACACATATCGACTTGTATTTTATTCGTACATAAAAATATTGACGGAGTAATTGTGGTGGGGAAGCAGATATAGCGAGAGGTTACTTGTTGTTATTATAAGGATGTAATAAAATTATCTTGTCTATAAATGAAAGATAAGTTTGGTAGAGCATGTTTGCTTCATAAATTTTTTTTGATAGTCTCGGTTCAGAAATTATTATTACCAAAAATTCAACTATCACTATGGCTTACTAACTTTATTCCAATTAGTAAGTTGGGTATGGTATAAATGGAGAACCATTTTTGCTATTTCAAGATTTACTGACTAACCATTTGGATTTTCAGAATTCGCAAATAAATACTTCATGTTTATGATAAACGGTGACGTATTCTCTCCAAGCAGCGATACGGCAATGATACGGCAATGATACGGCAATGATACGGCAATGATACGGCAGTGATACGGCAGTAATACGGCAGTTATGAGGCAGTTATGAGGCAGTTATACGGCAGTGATGCGGCAGTTATACGGCAATTATGCGGCAGTGATACGGCAGTGATACAACAGTACTGTAAGCAGCAAAAGTAAAAGGCGTATACTGAGAATATTCGATAGATGATTAGAAATGGCTGCTAAAAATATATAAGTAGCGTAGATTTCAGTTAAATAGATGTCAGTCAATAAGTGCATGTTTAGAATGTTCTAATTACTCTCAATTTCTTTATTGTAATAAATGAGTAATCCTTAAGACATTGTTAATGATTCATTCCCTGGTAACTTATCGGTATAACTGAGAAACCGCTAATCCCTATATCGATAAAGAATAATCGCCTCTTGTCCCGCGATTATTCGAGCGGCAAATTCCGATAATTAATTATGTAGGTGCGCATTATTATGATTAAAATACTATTGTACTCCAACGGTAGACTAAGAATTAATCCCATCCTAGGAGCCGACAGAGTTATTCGAGTACAATTAATATATCCACGCTCTACAACGGGAAGGTTTTCGCAAGTGCAAAGCCTTGATTGGACAAGGTTACTAACTGTAACCCGAGATTTACTTAGAGAAGGAGACGCCACGCTCTGCCAAAACTAGCTAAATTCCTAGTGTCGATTATTACCTACTCTCCCGTGATAGTCGACACGACAACAGATTGAGCTCGAAAAGTAGTGAACTTTTTTTGGAATTCAATAATTCCTAAATTATCAAGTAGCTACGCTACCATTATAAATTACTTAAGCAACTTAATTAAAGCAACACATTATGAGAGGTTATTACGTTAATATCTACTTTTCAGAGGAAACCAATAACAAGACCAGGCCTTTAATTACTCAAAGAAAGTGAGTTTGTTAATAAAGCTGTAGAGAAAGAGTTGGAAAAATAATAAAATCAAGAAAAGGAATAATTAAAAAATCAACTTATCGAAAATAAGCAAAAATAAAAGTAAGTCTGAATTAATCTTGTGAAATAGAATATCGGAAGACAGTTTAGTAATGAATAAACATAAAGATTTAAACTTGGCTAGTAAAATTTTCCAAGATTGAAAGTCGTAAGCTGTCGAGTCAACGGTCACGGGAGGGCGAATGACTATTGACCCTGGCATTTAGCTTTATCCGAGGCTTCTCCTACTTAGCTAAATACAATTCAACAGTTAGTGACCTTTCAAACAGGCTTTACTACTCACGCCCAAGAGTGTCGATCAGTAGACCCTCTTCCGTGAGATTAATTCGAAAGTCCGTACGTAGGTTAGATTTTATTTGTATCTATCTAAAATATTTATTACTTCAATAAATAATAATCATAATCGCCACCACGCATATTCGAGGGACAAGAGTCAAATATCCTTAATTGATAGAGGGATTAGTGGTTCGCGCTCTACCGAATAATAGTGTATTTCAGGCATCCAAAATGTTAGTGTATGTGAAGGCTTCTGTTATCTTCTTTATTTCATTTGGATTCGTGCATCCTTTCCTCGCGTGCGCTCCGATCCGATCAGTTAATGGTCCTTTGTGGACACATCATAAAAGGCATTATTAACACAAAATTAAGTTCCAAAAATTGTTACCCCACCTACTTTATAAAAGTACGCTAAATTCCATCTTTGAAGGTGTTCATCACAAAGTGGCTCCGACAATGACACTTAACAATTGTGTTATGAAGTTTAGATTGGGACTCGGTGCATCGTCCAATAGGATAACTATATTACAACCAGAAATGCTACTCCCAATCATCCACCCTTAGAACTTGATTTACACGTGACGCCAAGAGTATTATTATTGTTTATTACACGGATAGGCATACTTACCAATAACCCATGGCTTTATTTATTAGTACCAGTTCCTTATCTTTCTTCTTTCCTTTGAGGCGAATTGTTGTTGCTAAGATGGTGCCTGGTTCAAACTTGAGATGAAAACAAAATTAATTTCTGCAATATATTATTATCATAACTTAATTACATGCATACCGGTAAAATAAACTCGGTTTGTTCATATTATAAATGTCTTTCAAATCATAGTCAGCAGTAGCATGATTTGTAGAATCATCCTCTCCATGCTTTTTATTTGTACAAGGTTAAATAACCAACCATTAGAGAATCTAAAATCGCTAATAGAACGTTCAACATCTAAGCAAAAACCTTTGCTTTTTCTAAACAAATTGATCTTGTCGCGGGCTTTGACGATTCACTCTAGTAATGCATTGTCGGACTAGCTTATACATGGTGTACTAGCCGTTTTGGGATTTAGTTCGTTTCCAACGGAAGCTTTTGCTCTTCCTACTTTAAACTAAATAACGTACAATTAGTGACCTTCAAACTCAGGCTTTCAATACTCACGATGGATAGTATCGCTTTTGTATGCGCTTTTCGCTTAGACTCGAGTATCTCAGCGATTTCCGTAGTTGGATTAATTCTACGGCCTATCGAACGGGGAATTATACTATTTATAGGTGTTAACAATTAATTAATAATTGCAAAAGTACTAAATAGAATTTATCGGCAAGATTAAATTCTATTCGCCGCTGGCGGGGAAAGCGTTTTAACACTTCGCCAAACGACGCTAAGTATCTTTTATCAGGGAATTAACGAAATAAAGATTATAGTTGAATCGGATATTTATTAGATGATAAGGAACTATCTAATAGCAACGTCTTGCTGAAAGATCTGATCTGAAGATGATTTTTAACTATTATCTACGACTCGTATTTATAACTAATTATCGTTTCACTAACACTAAACTGTCCAAGTTTACGGATAAATGGGGTAATTTGTGTCTGCCCAAATTTTCATCCTAATCCGGACAATCTAATTTTAACTGTCCAAACTTTTGTATCTATCCGCTTTAGCCATCCTCTATATGGGGATAGTCTGTGTTTGTCCAAGTTTTTGGCCTAATCTGGCAACATCTGTACGATGGTTGTGTTACTGGGATTTCGTGTGACGGAGGAATACGTTCCTCGATCCTGACAGCATTCTCATATCGAACATTTTTTTCGTCTCTTTGCAAAACAATATCTATATCCTCTACTTTTCGTTTGAGTATGTGACTGATAATAATAGATAGCACTGGGATGGACAACACAATTATATGGATGCTTTATCTGCTTGACAAGGTCAGAATTACTAGTGATTGGTTTCTGAGTTTGTATATAATTAATGTTGCTTTCTGTTCATGATTACTGCAAGAGTTTTCTGTTATTCATATTTCAAGGTCTAATCTCATGACCTGATTTAGGGTAAGGCACTACTATGGAAATACTATTAAACAAACCTAAGTCACGGAATGCTGCAAATTTATGCATTTTGTGCTGAGAAATTGTCATTGTTAAGAAGATAACACTACTGAAGTTAGTAGAGCAAATTCCTAAAAGCAAATACAACAGTGTCATTGTCAATTAAGAATGTCTCGCTTTTACAGACTTTATTTTATCCTGCATGGTTTAAATTTAAACTGCTTGATATTGTGACTCTAATAACACAGTTATCACCTTTATGGTCAAAGGGCATCTCTTCGTTATAATACCTAGGACATTCTAAACTTTAATGTCAATATCAAATTTCCATTAATACAAGTCGTGCACACAACGTAACATATTCAGCTAAACTTACCCGATGTGGTTTGGTAAAATTAAACCAACCTATTCGATTATTCAGTTTTATCGCATTCTTATAACAACAATAACCTCACTATATCTGCCTCCCAAACCATAATTAATACAAAGTTGCTATGTGTTATATATAACAAGTGTGGGAGATTACTTTTAGGCACAAGAATATATTCGACGTTACATGTGAACAACAAGATGAATTAGGATGGTGGTTATTGCCAAAAACTTGGTGAATAATTGCACCTGAGTTTGAGCTTTAAAAGTACTGGACGAACTGTTTATAATGATGGTGGTACCACCACCACTAATAGTACTGCTTGTACCACTACTGCTAGTACTAGTGGTAGATGGAGGAGGGGTAGACGAAGGGGGAGGCAGGGTAGTGGTAGACGAAAGGGTACAATTGACAGGCGTACACGTCTTGCCATTGGGACAGCATCCACCTCCGCCGTTTAAACAGCAGCTGGTCGTGCAGCATTTCGTGCCTATGGCACAACAGTCGCCTAGCTTGTCTGCACATCCATAATATCCAACCCCACAGGTGCCGACTTTCGTGATGTTAGATACACTTTGTAGCCGAGTATTCATGATTATAGATCTACTTTGTAGCAAAGTTGATGTCGCAGAAGCCAAAGTTACGGTAGCGAGAGCGAGTATTAGTATGAGACTCTTCATATTAAAGTTTGAGCAGGACTTTACAATATCCGGATGCGAAATGGGTGTGTTATTTAAATGTTTACATCCTGCAAATTTGTGAAACGGATGCATTCACGCAATACTAAATAAAGAGTCTGTGTTAATGTTAAAACACTCGGTACTTAAAGCATACGACTTATAACCGAATATGATAGGATACTAACAGATAGATTAGTTGTATCGATCTGGTTGTTTAAACACACAAAATAAATGTTTCATTCATGTGGTACAGTTGGATAATTTGCGCGTAAAAATAGTTGCGATTTAACGCCTATGTGGAACCAAAGCATGCATTTTAGGGGGTAGGGTAGTTTTTTTACAATTTCATTGGTTGATATACAAATTTGACCAATGTAATTGCAAGACTCAGGTCACGTTCTATTCCGCTTTAGCCATCCTCCATTTAGCTGGGTTGTCTATTATTAGAGTAATTCAATTGTGTAACATTATGGATACAAATTTTTTATACAGTTTAAAGAATGTAAAACCTTCACAAACATTTTATGCGACGATAAAAAAACCCAACACTTTTACACATTCCTAGACCCCTATAAACGAAGTGATCCTGTTGATCCCGCAGGTTCAGAACAAGCAATTTCAACAATCCTAGACGACAGAATGGAAATTCAAGCTCCCAGAAGAAGCTTGTTGGACCATGTGTCATTTGTGGACTAGAAAGGCTTGGAATGAAGTTCCGAAGATTTACTGAAGATGCTTATCATAAAGCTACGCAGCATGGAACGTTAAATTCTACATAAGTATTAAATGTTACTCAGTCCTGACGACACAATCATTACCTCACATATTATTTGATAGACAAAACATACTGTATCTTTTGTTAATAGGTAATTTTATTCACATCTCTGTACTGAGTCAAATATGTCAGCGTTAATGCCATAACTATTGTCTGCCGTCGCACAATTGAAATCGTATTTCATGCGATTGTAAATTGAAGACGCCGTGTTGTAATATAATTTATTTTGACTATAAACAAGCTATTGTCAATATTGCGATTTACTTCATGCGGTTCTATAGTAATAGGAAACAGGTATTTTCATAAACGACTTATGATTAATATACTATTTTTCAGAGTTTAACATGACATGTCACTGTGTATATCATATTTACTGTTGTCGCTTGATCATTAACCTCATAAGAATGTAAGTAATAATACACGTGACTTATGAATTATATAAAGCTCGTATACAAGAAATATGGTTATATCATTATTTCGTTGCTAGATGTTCTTTACACTATTCCTCCGCATACATTTTCATTATAACAATCTGATTCGTACGATAACCTTGATGTTTTTATCATCATTAGTATAGAAGCAAATGTCTTTCAACCATAGAAATATGTATTATATCCGAATTGGTATTTGAAACTAATGTCAAGTGTCAAAGCATTCGTGGAGAATTCTATCTACCGCATTATTAAATAACGAGGTCAAATGTCATAAAGTTTTAGTCTTCGTTTAACCTGTCAAATTGCAATATTGTATATCAGTTAGACAAATATCATATATATGCAATCTAATCATCCGTACGGTTAGATCAAAAGTCTATTTTACAGTCTAACCGTAATACTAAAAATTACACCAATAATTTCAATGCAAATCAACATGCGGTTAGATCAACATTGACCACTAAAGATTGTACCAACAATTTTCAATCATCGTGCGGGGAGATCAAAATAGACTATATTTACAGTCTAACCATAATGCTAAAACTCGTACAAATAATTTTCAACGCAAATCATTAAATCTTCAATATGGTAGAAAACTATTCCAACGTATATTAATTCTCTCAGTACTCGATTAATGATTGACAGTGCTTTTGGAATTTAATAATACGAGCAATAGTTTCAGCCATTTATTCGTAATCCATACTTACCCCATGTCGAATGTTTGTCAAAATTTAGGAATACATTGTAGCACGATACAAATATATATTCATGTCGGTTTATCTTGATTTCTTCCGGTTTACAATACCTACAGTTTAACTCATTCTATTCAAACAATGTCCAATAACTCTCGAATTGTATGACTTTATTTTCAGTTACTTTTGTAAATTTAGCTTAGTAAAGCCTTTTTTCTTGGTTCGCGGCCGGCTATGTTTTACCATGAAACATAATCACTGACTATGTTTAACATTAAAACGAATATTTGATTCTCCTTGGACAATACAAAATAGTAAACGAACATTCCGACAATCTATTGTGGTGTGCCAAAGCTTTCCTGCCAACGCATAACAATTTTTGGAGAATCGGCAACAAAGTGAAGTACAGTCGTAGTACAAGCCTGGCACAGATTATTAATAAATAGAAAATGGCATGATATCTTGAGTAATACAAGTGTCATAGGGGAGGCACGACCATAATTAATTATAGGGCATGGGAAATCGGAACCATAGAATTTTGAGGATAGGGATATATCTGGGTGGGATACAAATGAGGTAGATTTATACTGGGGAAATACGTCCAGGGATATAGATGAGGTATGACTATACATCTAAGATCTCTTCGCAGATCATTGCCCCACATATCAATTGATAGACAATGTCTTTGTTAATATACCATATATGGTTTCATTCTATTAAGTAACGCAGATATCTGTGGTCAATGAACCAGGCATTAGCATTCTCGGACCGATACAAACAACCGTTTCACTCGCTATCTGTTAAATAATTAGGTCCGTTAGAAACTTTGTCAAGTTGGATGCTTTTAACTAATTATTACAATCTTGCCAACAAGTCAACTTAAGTTTATGGTTTATGATAATATTAAACATAGAACTTTTTGTTTCCACATATATGGCGAATTCAATTGGGCGTAATCACAAAAGCGTACAACGCTGCAGGATGTAAATGTTTAAATAATGCATTGTTTTGCGTCAGGATTTGTATCAAGTCCTGTTCGAACTTCGATATGAAGTATCTCATGATACTCATTCTCGCTGCCGTAACTTTTGCTTATGCTATGTCACCTCGGCTGCAAAGTAGATCTGACATCACGAATTCTCGGCTGCTAGTTAAACCTCCCACCACGAATTCTCGGCTGCAATTTAAACCTGCCACCACAAATTCTCGGCTAAAAGGTAGATCTACTGCCGCATATCTTGAAGCAAGGAAGCTTGATGGCAAATATGCTGGATTATCCCTACTGGCAAACGCTAGTACCTGCAACGATCCAAACTACGTTCCGTGTACAAATAACGGTGGATGTTGCCCTCCAAACATAACATGCTTAGTTAATGGCTGCGACATTCCATGCACTGTTGACGATATACCTTGTGGCAATGGTTGCTGCCCCCCTAACAAAGTTTGCACATCTAACTTTTATTGTAGTGTTCCCCCTCCTCCTCCCCCTCCTCCTCCTCCGTCTACCGTTACCCTGCCTCCCCCCCCTCCGTCTACCGTTACCCTGCCTCCCTCTCCTCCTTCATCTACCACTAGCAGTAGCGGTATAAGCAGTACTAGTAGTGGCACTACTGTCACTATTGTAACCAGTTCGTCTAGTACTTTTAAAGCTCAAACTCAGGTGCAATTATTCACCAAGTTTTTGGCAATGACTACCACCATACTAATTTATCTTGTTGTTCACATGTAACGTCGAATATATTCCTCGTGCCTAAAAGTAATCTTACCACACTTGTTAAATAGTATCTTATATAACACGTAGTTAACTTTGTATTAATCAGTGGGGGTTATTGCTATTATTATAAGAATGCAATGAAACTGATCCTGTCGATATAACTGAACATAAAATACCAATAAATATCATAAAACCAATAACCGAGTAATTATCGGGTAAGTCTAGCAGAATAACGAAAATTTTTTAATTGTGCACTGCTTGTATTAATAGAAATTTGATATTGGACATTAAAGTTTAGAACGTCTTGAATCACATCAGTGATAATTGTGTTATTAGAGTCGCAGCATCAACTAGTTTAAATTGGACTGTGCACCGTTACATAGGTTTCTCCTAGTAAATAATAAGAGTTTGTAAAATCGATACGTTGATAGACAATGACACTATTGGAAATTTGTTCTACTTGTTGTATGTCAATTTGGAATTATTCAAATTGGAATCGGATAATCTATGAACGCAACGTATTTTATATTTATTATCAAAATGATGTATGCATATATGTTAACCATATTATATCGTAATACTCAATTCCATAATTCTCACATATCAAAAGCTAATCATTTGTTTCAGCAAAAAGAGCTTATTACAATCCGAACTTTTCGTTTGCTATTATTATCTTTTAATATTACATTGCTAGGAACATGTTTCTTACTTCATGCAGTTCTACTGAAACAGGCATTTTCATAAGCGACTTATGATTAATATACTATTTTTCAGAGTTTAACATGACGTTTATCAACCAGCCTGTGTATATCATATTTACTGTTGTCGCTTGATCATTAACCTCATAAGAATGTAAGTAATAATATACGTGACTTATGAATTATTAAATAAAGCTCTTATACAAAATTATATCGTATAAGGTGTAAGAAACATGGTTATTATTATATCATTATTTCGTTGCTAAATTGCATCAATGCTCTTTACACTATTCCCTCCGCATACATTTTCATTATGACAATCTAATTCATACGATAACTTGTTTGATGTTTTTTATCATCATTAGTATAGAAGCAAATGTCTTTCAACCATCGAAATATGTATTATCTGAATTTGGTATTTGAAACTGATGTCAAGTGTCAAAGCATTCGTGGAGAATTCTATCTATCTCATTATTAAATAACGGGGTCAAATGTCATAAAGGTTTAGTCTTCGTTTAACCTGTCAAATTGCAATATTGTATATTAGTTAGACAATATCATATGCAATCTAATCATCGTACGGTTAGATCAAAAGTCTATTTTAGTCTAACCGCCGTGATGCTAAAAATTACACCAATTATTTCGATGCAAATTATCGTACGGTTAGATCAAAATAGACTCTATTTACAGTCTAACCGTAATGCTAAAAAAATCATCATGCGGTTAATATTAAATCAACATTGACCACTAAAGCCTGTACCAATCATCGTGCGGCTAGATCAAAATAGACTATATTTACAGTCTAACCGTAATGCTAAAAACTACACCTCGTCAAAATATACTTTATTTATAGTCTAACCGTAATGCTAAAACTTGTACATAGTAATAGGTACTCTCAATAAGTCGGACTCGTCAGGGTGGAGATTTTATCCGACTTATCGAGAGATCCGAATTATCGAATTCTTTAATACGCAATAATAATAAGCTCGCTTTCTTCCAATTTAGGCCATTCATTCTCGAGATTACTGTCCACTTTTATATCAAATATATTTTGATGCTATCCAAACAACCGTATTGCTTTTGGTTTCTTCTCCCTCTTCTCTTCTTCTTCCGACGGTACTTCTTGTATTGCAGCAAAATAACGAAAACGAAACGATGAAGCAAATTATTGGATAATTAACTGTCTTGTATTTACTAAACCGGTAAAGATTATCTCTCGAAATCACGTGATACGACTTATCGAGAGTCATTTGTATAAGCCGATTGAAAGGGTTGTCGACTTACAGGTTTATCGCGATTTTTATATGTGTGTCCGATTAAATAGTCGAAAAAAAAGGGCGAAAAAATTTGTCCGAGTTAGGCCAAATCCGGCTTATCGAATGTCCGACTTATCGAGAGTGCCTATGACCAAATAAAGAAATTACTGTGCCCCAATTATATCGGAATATACGAAAATTCTTTCAACTACAACTGTCGCCACCAACTCTGATACAACCAATACGCCAACGCTAGGAGAGCTCTCTCTAATACTTACACCTCCTGATACTATGTCAATTGAAGAATTTTTGAGTAACCCGGAAGAGGACGAGGTTTATGTAGTTCCCGACAATGAAGAACTTGTTGAATTATATAGAAAACAGTCAGATTTACCTACCGATAGCAATAGCGAAGAAGCCGATGACAGTATTGAGCCCAAAATAATTAGTATTAGCGAGGCTTCAAAAAGCTTAGAAATAGTCTACAACAACAAAACAATGCTGAGGAACTATTCAAACATGACAAGGCTTGATTAATACATTAATCGATTGCAATGAAACTTACGATATCAATTTTTTAAATAATAAATAACCAATGATATTTACTTATTTCCTAATTTCATGTGCAACCAATCAAATTATAAATGCTCGCTTCCAAGATGGAGGGTTCACATTGCTTAATAAATATCTTTTATCTAATCTACATGTTATTCCAAATTGACATACAGCACCGCTACTTATTATTATCTTCGCGTCTGAATTTATGTTTTCGTTGCCATCACATTATTGGTGTAAGCTAATATTTGTTAGTCTTAAATTCGTAACGTCTTTAAATAAAAATTAGTAAAGCTACTATTAACGCAAAAGTTAATCTTCGAATAACTAAATGGTGGTTATATAATTAATTTTATTGCAAATGTGTTTGTTAGCCTAACTCTCAGTACGGTTTTCAAATTAAATCTTCAATATGGTAGAAAACTATTCCAACTATATCAATGCCTTGCAATTCTCTCAGTACTCGATTAATGATTGACAGTGCTTTTGGAATTTTAATAATACGAGCAATAGTCTCAGCCATTCATTCGTAAATCCATACTTAAATTCAGCCAATTCCCATGTCGAATGTTTAGTAATGCATTGTATAGCACGATACAAATATATATTCATTTTGACCGAATGTCGGTTTATCTTAACTTCTTCCGGTTTCATTATATTCAAACAACGTCCAAATAACTCTCGAATTGTATTACTATACGAGACTTTATTTTCAGTTACTTTCGTAAATTTAGCTTAGTAAAACCTTTTTTCTTGGTTCGCGGCCGGCTATAGCTCCCAGGCTTTTACCATAAAACATAATCACTAACTCTGTTTAACATTAAAACGAGTATTTGATTCTCTTTGGACAATACAAAATAGTAAACGAACATTGCGATTGCGTGTCGACAATCCATTGTGGTGTGTCAAAGCTCTCCTGCAAACGCATAACAAATTTTGGAGAATCAATACGCTTTGTTTTCTATAGTTCGGCAACCGAACAAAGTGAAGCATCTAAGATCTCTTCGCAGATCATTGCCCCACATATCAATTGATAGACAATCTTTGTTAATATACTGTATATGGTTTCATTCCAGATATCTGTGGATTGTCAATGAACCAAGCATTAGCATTCTCGACCGATACAACCAACCGTTTGACTCGCTATCTGTTAAATAGTTAGGTCCGTTAGAAACTTTGTCAAGTTGGATGCTTTTTACAATCTTGCCAACAAGTCAACTTAAGTTTTATGGTTTATGATAATATTAAATTTAGAACTTTTTGTTTCCACATATATTGGCTAGAAAAGGCGAATTCAATTGGGCGTAATCACAAAAAGCGTACAACGTAAGTATTTAAATAATGCGTCCCGACACGATTATTTTGCATCAGGATTTGTGTCAAGTCCTGCTCGAACTTCAATATGAAGTATCTCACTTTGATACTCATTCTCGCTGCCGCAACTTTTGCTTATGCTATGTCACCTCAGCTGCAAAGTAGATCTGACATCACGAATTCTCGGCTGCTAGTTAAACCTCCCACCACAAATTCTCGGCTGCAATTTAAACCTGCCACCACAAATTCTCGGCCACAAGGTAGATCTAATACGGCATATCTTGAAGCAAGGAAGCTTAATGGCAAATATGCTGGATTATCTCTATTGGCAAACGCTAGTGCCTGCACCATTTCAACATACGCTCTGTGTCCAAATAGCAATGTATGCTGCCCTACACTTGCGACATGTATACCTAACAGTCAAAGCTGCAACATTCCATGCACTGTTAACGATATACCTTGTGGTAGTAATGGTTGCTGCTACCCTAACGAAGTTTGCACACCTGACTTTTATTGTAATCCTATTACGTCTACCGTTACCCTGCCTCCCTCCCCTCCGTCTACCGTTACCCTGCCTCCCCCCCCTCCGTCTATCGTTACCCTGCCTCCTCCTTCTTCCTCTCCTCCGACTCCATCTACCACTAGCAGTAGCGGTGCAAGCAGTACTAGTGGTGGCACTATTGTCACTGTTGTAACCAGTTCGTCTAGTACTTTTAAAGCTCAAACTCAGGTGCAATTATTCACCAAGTTTTTGACAATGACTACCGCCATACTAATTTATCTTGTTGTTCACATGTAACGTCGAATATATTTCTCGTGCCTAAAAGTAATCTCACCACACTTTTTAAATAGCATCTTATATAACACATAGTTAACTTTGTATTAATCATGATTTAGGAGGCAGATATAGTGGGGGGTTATTGCTATTATTATTAAAACTGATCCTGTCGATATAACTGAACATAAAATACCAATAAATATCGTGTCAGCAGAGTAAGAATAGTTTAATAAGCCACATAGAGTAGGCTTAGCAGAATGTGTACACGGCTTCTATTAATGGAATTTGATATTGGACATTAAAGAGAATATCTTACGAATAGATGTCCTTTATTATTAAAAAAAGTGACAACTGTGTTATTAGAGTCGCAACATCGAGGCAGTTTAAATTTAACCCACGGTAAAATAAGAGTAAAAGCAAGACATTCTTAATAGACAATGACAATGTTATATTTGTTTTTGAGAATTTATTCTACCAACTCAATAGTGTTCTCAACAATGACAGTTTCTAAACACAAAATGCGTAAATTTACAGCATGCAAATAGCAACGGGTTTAGCAATGAATTGCATTCCGTGACTCTTAGGTTTGTTGAATAGTAGTGTCAGCGTTATCCAAGACTGCTGTCTAAGGTTGAGACAAACATAAAAAAACATATCCAGGCTAAACACATACATTAGGATAATAATAATAACGGTATTGTCGGAAATTACCTTGTTGAATAATTTACGAGTCTTTTATGTGTCCTGCATCACTACCATTACCATATTGAATACGTTCCGACAACATCAATCGTCACTGTCCAACTTTCGTTTCGACAATTTGCGATGTCAGATCTACTTTCCGTAATGATGTAGCAGAAGCAAAAGTTGCTGCAGCGAGAGCGGGTGTTAGTTCGAGCGGACTTTATAATAATGATAGACGCAATTCTTTAGACGCTTGCGTTGTAGGCTTTTTCTGGTCATCAAGCATATAGAGGAAATAAAGAGTCTCTGTGCACATAAAGTTGCAATGCTAACCAAATCTTACTTCCGCAGACATAGTCGCAACAACAATTATTTCATTGCCAAACGGTTAAAAACAAGCCAAAATCGAGAGAAAAAAATAGAATAAATTAGAATAAGATTTTCACGGGATTGCTATGCGTTGAGAAGGAAGAATAAGAAAAGCTTTGGTGCATACATTACGACAGATTATCAAATTCTTGTTACGCAATCGGATTTTTTTGCATTCTCGTACTTTTGTATTGTTTTACATGTCCTTGGGCTATAACAGGAGAATGAAATTTTAATATTAACAGAAATTGGAAATTAATTTCCATGTTAAATAATTACTCATTGATTAATTTGTTAATTTTATCAATCAATTTTACTGGTTTGAAACCATCCGTCGGAGGCATTAAAAAGTCTTTAACGCCAAGTCTTCCAGCAAACCGTTTTGCTTTTTCTTGACCATATGTCCTTGTAAGGGAAACCTCGAGCAATGGCTTGATCAACCCAAATTATCACTCTCCTTCAATTTTGGCGGCAATTGATTCTAATTCAAGGCTTTTCCAATGTGAAGACCTTTTAGAATTCTAGAGACAGCTTGCTCACTAATTCCAAAGTCTTCCGCCAGTTTTCGGCCTTTTTTTGAAAAAATAATTTTGCATTGTTATCTTTTATTATTTGTTTTAATAACAAACTAGGTAAGTTTTTTATGTGCCCGGTTGACTGCGTGGCAAAAAAACTATTGTCAAAAATCAGTACTGTGAGATATTTACAAACGGCGATGTCAACCGGGTGTAGTGTGTTTTGAGCAGCAATTGCAACAGTATGGAAATGTGATAATTCAGACTTGTCCCGTTACATATTCCCTTTTCAATACGTGTGTTGTTTACATCACTCTAGCCTTGTTGTATACGTATTGATGGTGGAAAATTGTTCTGAGCTCAAAATTAGGTTGAGTTATGTTGATTGGTTGCTGTATGCCGTTGATAATCTAAGGCTACGGCTCACAAATCATGAATTTATTATCTTCTACTACTGCATTATTTATGACACAGTTAATTTGATTGGCGGTTTTCTTATAAGGAACTACATACGAGTCCGTGTGGTAAATGTTGAGGTTATAAGAATTAGCCTTTTCTATAGTTGTTGCCATGTGTAATTAGAGATATTGTCTAATCCGATTTCTTCCAACATTCATGTCGGATTGGTGACGTTGAGAAATATTGGATAAATAAATAAGTGGAAGACTCACTGACCACATACTGGCAGCAGTTGTGCCAAGTCTCCTGCAATAATTACGTTGATGCCGCCAAATGCCATAATTTGATGTAAATAAGTTTGATATGAATGTAAGAAGTGAAGCTGAAACCATAGATAATTATTGTTTCAAATTTAGCTAACTGATTCTTGAAGTCTTTGTCGTAAGAGACTAGTTCCTGCTGAACCAGTTATGAAAAGTAAGCGATATTTGTTTGTTGTTCATATTGGGTTTGGGCACGTAATATAATTTAAAATTTCTAACAATAGTATTAGTATACGCAAAGATACCACTCAGCAATAACACTCGTTTCTAGTTTAACGGAAGGTTTGCGGTAATGACGTATACAAATTTATGAAAACGTTTGCAGTCAAACCTCGTTCGTACGATTTTTTTTTGTTACGCCAAAAATTATTGGGGAAGGAGACATCGGTAGACGGGTTTTCCATTTCTTCAATTTTGTCTTTTTTGAAGAAAAACATTATCATTTCGCATATATTTATAGCTTCAATTTCGTCGATGCTCATATATACCCTCGTTGACATTGGTTTCTCCAAACCTTGACTATGAACAGAAGTTTGTGTACTGAGCAAGTTATTTTTTCTTCTATACATGTTATTTTATGACTCCATCTTTTGAGTTTTGAATCTGAGAGAATTTGAAAGATAACCAATTAGAAAGTTTGACATTTAGCAAGTCTTACACAATTACGAGTGAGAAGGAAGGCATGTTGTAACTAGGGCGACGATTCATGTCAACGGCAGAGAGTGCTGATATAAAATATCAAAATGGAATCGATGTACTTGAGATTATCCTATCGTTCGAGAGAGAATACATAGCCAGTTTAATACGCCGGGGATAATGATAACACTCTTGTGAGTATTTTCTCCAAAGATAATTTGGAATTCTACCGTCGAGAATAATATATGCTCGATGCGATGCAGAGAATCACTACTACCAAGACTAAATCAGAGACAACGAATAATGTATGATGCTACGCAGCGTATAAATTATTCACTACTCGACCAGGTTATGCCTTTACCACCTCTCTTTGAAGAATTATGTCTGTCTGGACATTAATTAATATCGTATGATAGAAGTATGAGACTAGCATGTTCATAAATACAAGGGTATTGTTACGGTCGGGAATTAATTGGGGGGTTTTGGGAGAGCGATTTATCTTTTCGCGTAGGTGTGTTCGCCGACCGGGGGATGTTACCAGGCTTAGCTCGTACTATCGCCATTCCTACGATAGTTGTGCAATTAAGACTGAATTAAATCTTAAGTAACCTATTTTAATTATGCGCGTTTCTCACTCCCTATCCGAGTTTCAAACACTCGTGAATACAAATAAGGGTACCTCTAATAGAATAATAACAGCAATTATTCTATTAAACAGGGCTATCTTCGATTTGTTTATCGACTAGTCGGTATCCGTCACTTGTCTTTCTAAATTAGTTAAACAATAATCATCTCGATGATTAATTATGAACTCTCGTTCCGTTATTCACGTAATTGATCAGCAGACAGCTTACTAGCTTGATCAAATCAATGCCGTTTATTGGAGTGTCCGGCCTATTTCGACGATAGAAATTAAATGGATATTGATAATAAAGGATTCGGGAGAATACTACTAAGATCAGTAGTATTATTTTATTTCACAACATGGACAATATTACAACATTAAGATTTGGCGATGGAATATGAGCTACTTATATATCTTCGAGCGTTGCGGGAAAAGCGCAACACTCTTTTAGCTATTTCCAATTATAGTATTTTGTGCTGTTGCGGAAAAAACGCAACGCTCTTTTAGCTATTTCTAATTATAGCATTTTTGTGCTGTTGCGGATTTCTCGAAACGTTTTTGCTATTACTGCGCCTGTTGCGGATTTTTCGAAACGCTAATTTAACTTTTGTATTACTGAGCTAAAGTTTGCTGACTGCGGAGGAAGATTTTATCATGTGACTTACTTATCTGATTCATCAGTAGCATATTAATCATGGAACAGGTAACAAAGCGGTAACAAAGCGGTAACAAAGCGGTAACGAGAAGAACCCTCGTAACTCGCCTACCACGTTCGCACATGTATCGGGACAAAGGGATTTATTATATTTATCGTATAACGGTAAATTTTTTATGTAAATTTCGAATGCAGAATTTTCTGTATGTAGATTTTCGGTATAGCGAGTACTGGAACAACGAGTTGATAGTACCCAACAATCTATTTACAACATTATAGGCTATATAATACTTGCAATCCATCTCAACCTAATTTACAACATTGATACACTAAAAAATTTAAACATAGCGATGCAAATAATTTAAATTCTCGCATTGTCCTATTATCTTCTACTAGGCCCTCACTGCATATTGGTAATTTCACACAATGCTCAATTGAAAATTATTAAGCATTAGGTACCTGCAATTATGTTATAACTCTATCGCTCTTCTGAAATATCAAGTTAAAGTTATTTCTACTTTTTGTTTAATATTGAAATGAGAATTTAGTTCTCTTATTATAACCCCAAAAACAGTAAAATCTATAGTATGCAAGAAAAAAAAAATAAGACCAAACATTTCTGCTTGCGTAACCACAGTTCCGATAAGCAATACAGATTCCCACTTGACGAAGAGTTTATTTTCTGAAAGTTGTAACAAGGGAAGATTATTCATATGAAACATAATCTTCATAGTACTCTTAGTACTTGGATTAAAGTAAGTGCTTTTTATAATACCGATACGAGCAATGGGGGTTTATGAGTTCTTCCAGCCATT